TAATCTTCCACCAATCTCTGTCCATAGAACACTATCTTCATTCTCAGACGAAGAGTTCGACATCCCACCCTTATTTGATGATTCTACCTATGCTGTGTCGGATATCCCAGATCTGGATGGTGATGATGATGATGACAATCTCTATGTTGGTAAAAAATATGCGAGTAAGTCGGATTGTCAAATCGCTCTGGCTGTATACGCTATCAAGAAAATGTTTTGTTTCAGACAGACCAGGTCGAACCCCAAAAAATTCATACTCCTGTGTACAGATCCAAAATGCGGTTGGCGCATCAGGGGTGGACAAGTCGGTAAAACCGAGCTTTTCGAACTCAAAATGGTGGACCTCATCCACACATGCGCCTACGAAACAAAACAAGCATACCCCAAACAAGCAACTTCCAGAATCATTGCTTCAGTTTTCAAATCCAAATACTCTGACCCGGTCACAGGGCCCAAGGCGGCTGAAATTCAACAGCTAGTTCTGCAAGAATTACGAGTTTCGGCCTCATGGATGAAATGTTACCGAGCAAAAGGCCAAGCCCTTGCTACATTCCGTGGTAAGGATGAAGATTCATATCTAAGACTTCCTGCGTATCTTCACATGCTTAAGCTTGCCAACCCAAACACAGTCACGGCTTTAGAGACAGAGAAGGACAAAGATGGAGTTCTGCGGTTCCGTTATGTTTTTGTTGCTTTCGGTGCGTCTATTTTAGGTTTTCGCCGACTACGCAGGGTTCTAATCGTGGATGGTACACATTTATGGGGTTATTTTAAGGGTGTTCTGTTGACAGCCTCCGGCCAAGATGCAAATTTTCAGGTCTTCCCGCTAGCCTACGCCGTGGTTGATGCTGAGAATGAAGACTCGTGGACATGGTTTTTTATGAAAGTTGAAAGGTTACTAGCTGGCAGTTCAAACCTACCCAAAATTTTCGATCGCGCGGACTCAATCTATACTGCGAAGGCACGTGTATTCTCAAAGGCACATCATGGATCATGCATTGTTCATCTTCAATGGAACGTAAAATCCAGGTTTAAAAGTAAGGGACTAGCCCAGCTCCTTTCACAGGCAGCCTATGCATACAGGTAGAGTAAATTCCGCGATGCATACCAACAACTTAGGGACTGTAGTCCTAGTTGTGCTACATACCTAGACAATATTGGGGTTGCCCACTGGTCACGGTATCATTTTAGAGGTGAACGGTTCAACATCATGACCAGTAACGCGGCAGAACAACTTAACCATGCTTTGAAGAAAGGGAGAGCTTCACCCATCGTTGAGCTACTCGTGTTCATTCAGAGAATGATGTCTCGCTGGTTCTGTGCACGCCGGAAAAAAGCTTTAAAGTGGGATGGTCTATCGACACCAGAAGTAGACAAAGTTATCACCAAACACAAGGAATAAGGCAACTTTAGCAAAATCAACCATCTGTCCCAATGGACTTGTGAAGTTATTGGTCGCCTGGGTGAAAAAAATCGTGTCATGATCCATGATAAGAAATGTACTTGTAAAGTCTATGACTGTCTTCAGATTCCTTGCAGCCATGCCTTGATAGCAGCCGACAGTTTGGGTACCACATTCCTCGTTGCTTTCCGACTACTACAAAACATCCACATGGGCAGCAACATATAAGGAAGTTATTAACCCAGAAGGGGATCCCGACGACGCAGATCTACCTAAAGCAGTTACAGATATGGTTTTACTACCTCCTCAATCTAAAAGGCCTTCAGGAAGGCCAAAGGGGAAAAGAATAGCCTCCAAAGGCGAGTTACGGGTAAGTTACTACATCGGCTTAGTTATATTTATCTCTTTCTTGGTTATATCTGATTCGTGTTAAACACTATTTTGTAGACACATCCGATCAAGAAATCTGTTCAAAATAAGTGTGGACGCTTGTAACGTCCCCGATCCGCAATAGGGTCGCCGGGACGGACCATGGCCGTAAGATGAGGAATAATGACAGAGAGTCTAAGGAACACACAAGCCATGGTCCAGTATGAGGGTTAAGTCTAGTTAATATGGGACTTAGCCAGGAAAAAGAAGAGAAAGATAGCTCAGTAAGGAAGGCCGAGCTAAAAAGAGTTGAAAAGGTGAGCTAAGCTAGCTGGATCAGCTGCCGGGAAGCTCAGCTCAGCTGGATTAAGAGTAAGACAGTTGGTCTAGCTGGGTGGCCAGTGAACTAGCTGGACTGGGGTAGTTGTGGGCGGTTATGGCCGAAAGGTTGCAAAGTCTATGCGCCCAATTGATGCACCTGTTCGGCCAAAACTCGCACCCGTTCGCTCAAAGTGGTTACCACAAGGAAAAGTCTATAAATAGACCCCTTGGGCCACATTTTCGGGTACGCACAAACTAAGGGACAAAACTCTGCCCAAATTTCGAGTGACCGAGAGAACGAAGGCAGTGACCGTGAGTCCGGCGGAAGGGAAACCGCGCGGAGCGACTGGTGCGGGTCGCGGAAGGAAAGAAGAACGAGAGAGCGCGGCGCGGCAAGGGAAAAACGACCGTGAATCTCTAAGGTGCGTTCATAGATAGGAGCGTACGATTAAGTTGTTATTTCAGCGCGCTATTCGGATGATCGGCCGAAGTATGGGCTAGGCCGAACGGATGGTTAGTGGCGGTGGAAGGAATAACGGATTCGACCGAGGATATGCGACGATCGGCCGAAGTATGGGCTAGGCCGATCCGATCATGTATCTCGGCCGAAATCTCAGAGATCGCCAGCCATGGAATTAAGACTGAGCCGGTGATGGTACGCATAGAGTCGTGTTAGTTATTGACCGGATCCGGTTGACGCGGTGGCCGAGTGGCTTGGGAGATAGAATGGTTTTCGCCAAACTCGGTCAACCGAAGGTCGACCTATGAACCGGATTAGAAATAGATGCTGTGGGTTAGAAACAGGGTCGGGAATCATAAGCATGAAATGCATTCATATGCATGAATAATACTTAGCCAAAATTGCATAGACTTACACTATTGACCTTTCAGGAAAGGATGGTGGTCCAGGAAGGGATTTGGCCTAGGCGCGCGGACCAGTTAGCCAAGCGGATGAGTGGTGTATTGAAACGGATAGATAGGATCATGTACTCTTATAATAGCTTATATGCAGACTCATAAGTTGTAATGAATCCTTTTAGTTATCAATAAAATATCCATTTCTGTCTTCTAATAATACATATTGACTCTAACTTAGTGAATCTCAGAATACACATATCGAATATGACTTAAACAAAGGACTTGACCCTAAAATTGGACTGATGGGGTTGGAGCCGTATAGCGGTCCGACCGGAAACAACCTCCACGGGCTTAGAGTTCGGGATGGGGTGTTTCAACGCTGCCACCAGAGTGGACACAATCGTCTCAGCTGCACGAATCCACTATGAAAGACCTTTCTCTGGTGTTTTTTGTTATTTTTGCTATTACGTGCCCGCTTTATCTATTGAATTCTGGGTAACCTATTAGTATGGCCGTTTTGGAGTGTTGTGTTCTATGTACTGTCATATTACAATCTATCTAATTGATCATATATATTGATCAATATGGCTGTATATTGGATTAAAATATGGCTGTATACAATTGTTATATTGGAAGATGTATGTGACACATAATTAAAGCCTTTTTCCTGGCCAGATGACCTCTTTTATGGCAAAAGAGCCATAGAGTGGATCAAAATCCACAAAGGTCTTAAGGTCATTAATAGCGATTAAGGCTTTACATTAGCTCTAACCGAACTTATTATTTATGCTCTCCCCATTAAATATGTCTATATTCATGTTTATATACACGTTCACATATTAGTGCGGCAACTATGGATAGGACCATCCCTTTATATGTGGATAACATACTATATTTTATTGAAAAACATACAAATGAGGTGCGAGAACGTGATGGCCGAATCCTTGTGGATGCGGCGAATTAGAGACTCGTATATTATGGTAGAAGCTATGCTTCCACTATGTAATGGATTTGACCATGCCAAACATGGCATCCATGAAGATATAGGATAATAGGTTATCCACATGTCAAACATGTGAAGGTTATGGATTTGACCATGTAAAATGAGATTTATGGATTATGGAATTGCGGGTTATGGATTTGAGCATAATAAACATGTGATCCTTGTGGATATAGGATAATATGGTAGAGGCTATGGTTCCACTATGTAAACGAGGTTAATTGTAAGTCTCCGACTGTAATTGATATGAATAACCCTTTATTTTAGGCGCCCTGTATGGACATACTACAAATGCGGTGCGAGTACGTGATGGTGAGCCACGCTACTTTATGATGGTCCAATCCATGTGGGGTGCGAGTATATGATGCTCTAATCCATGTGGATCTGATGTGTTAGAAACTCCCATATTTGGAGCTGCGCTTACCTATGGATACGGTCATACTACAAACGGTCGTGGATAAGTGAGATTATGGTCGTGCCCATACTCACATATTACAAACGAAGTAGTTTATTGGAAAACATACAAATGGGCGCGCGAGTGCGTGAAGGTCTAATCCTTAGGGATGCAATGTTTTAGAGACTCACATATTAACGCGGCAACTATGGATACGACCATTGCTTTATATGTGGATAACATACTACAAATGGGGTGCGAGTACGTGATGGCCGAATCGTTGTGGATGCGACGTATTAGAGACTAACATATTAACGATACAACAATGGATATGACCATTGGTTTATATGGGGATAACCCTTAAAACGTGGCAAAAGTATTCCTTTGTCAATTATATGTGGATGACCCGTATATGTATACAGAAATCAAGTAATATTGGATATGACCATATATTTGTAATGACCATATATTTGATAGAATGCGCCGATTTCGATTAGGCCATACTTCCATCAGAGTAAGATCCAGATTTCGTACTCTACTTCTGCTATTCCGTTATTAAGGAGTTCGATTTCTCAGTCTAACTATTTCAAACTCTACTTCTTCGTACTCTACCATTTCGTACTATACTTCTTTTATTTTGTAGGTTAAGATTAGAGATGTCTGGGGCATCAGGCAGCGTGTCTGGTTCGAGTGGATCGAGTAGTAGTCGTCCAAAAAGAATTGTGGGTGTTCCTAAGAAATGTTGGTGTGGTGAACAGATTGTGGCTTTGATTTCAAAATCCGACAACAATCCGTATCGGCGATACTTCAGGTGTGCGTATGCTGCATCAAAGAAGGTAATGAGATGGATATATGCTTTGTACCATGTCGCTTACACGGAAATTGTTCTTATCGCTGTCGTCTTGAATCAACATTTTTTGTAGATTGTGAATGATAATCACAACTTCAAATGGGTTGATGAGGCTCTGTTAGATGAGATTGAGAAACTGCAAAACAAGAATTCAAGCCTTGAGCAAGAGATAAAGGAATCGGCAACAGATAAATTGGGTTTGGAGAAGATGATTTATGAAAAAGTTCAAAGGAAGCTTGAGAAGGAAATATTTGACAGGGTTGAAGATGTGTTGGCTGAAGCAAAGTGTGGTATGAGGAAAATGATGATGCTAGTCGTAGTTGGATTTCTGCTCATGTTAGGGATAATCGGATTAGTTGGATGAATAAATTGGTGGTGTTGTATTTTCTCTCTTTGGTTGTAACATGAAAATGATAGTCTCTATGGCCGCGGCCAATAATGTAAGTTACTTCCATTTGAAAAACGCTATAATCTAAACCTAATTCCTATAGATATCGAGGACAGTGTACATTGTATGGTTAAAAGGAAAAAAGGCTATTTGGCATTGACCCGCATACGCGTTAAACATGGATATGGACATAATACAAGCATGGGACCTTCGTGTATGGGTCTGTATATATATATATGAAGGGCAATATAAATGTACATATATGGATATAGCCATATTGATATTGCCCAAATGAAGGTTATAAAAAATAGTTAGGGTATATGGATATAGCCATATAAACGAAAACATATGAACTTGTCCAATCTGTTGAATAAACCAAGTACAAGTATTGGTGTACATATGGACATGTTCACATCGATGGTTTAAAGCTGCATATGTTGCTCTATGTTTGAGCATAAGAATTTTGTGATCCAATGAATAGGTATCGTCCATAACAAAATGAACTTAGTTAGATTCTATCAGAAGGTTTATATAGTCAATTAATAATGGACGATGTAGTATGGATAATTCTTGTAGACAGTTAGTAATGTAATTTCTTAATATTTAGCAACAATATGGATACGCAGATATGTACATCCATATTGCTACACTTTAATTTTAAGAAGCAATGACCATGTATGTACATATAAATGCATCCATATTTAAATTCATCATGTTAAGTACACATTGACAAGTCCATGACAATAAAGGGTTATGCTCGGTAGTTAATGACCATCACCATTGGATGAAAAAATAAAATGGACAAGTACACAAATATCGTTAGTGGACATGTACACAGATAGTTGAAGATTTGCACTTGAACCTCTTCGCACGAATACGCCGCCGCCGCAACAGGAATGTAATTGCAGGTGAGCTTCCAATTTCAAAAATTTGAACAAAGTACAGAAATTAAGGGAGATGCAGAGCTTGTAATGCTCGACAGCAGAGGCAAGCTTCATGGATTGTTTGGCCTCAGCTAGATCTGAGCACTCTTGAAAGCTATGCGTTTGATGGGGATTCATGACAGGACATGATGAGGAAGAAGAAAGAATTAGCAGCAGTGAGAAATAAGAGATAACAACAATAGAAGAGGAAACTGGAAGCGTGAGAACAGAGAGAGATTAAATCAATAGAAGATTGAGGGCAAATCTCCGACTCGAAGATGGAGAAAGAAGGAGGAGATGGCTGGGTTTGATGGTTTAATTTAGGAATGTTGGGTTTGATGGTTTAATTCCACCGGTTTAGAAAGAGGAGATGGAGAAAGGGTTAATAACATAATTTCGAATGCCCTAAACATGAAAAAGTGCTACTTCAAATTAAAGAGCCATAGAGTGTAAATATTCTCAAAAAAGAGCCATAGAGTGTAATTCTCTCGTGGTTAATATCTGTCAAGGTTGTCAGGCTCTGGAAGCATTCAACATTCTTCGAAAATACTATCGAGATGGTTGTCTGATATCAAAGTATGTGTTTTTTTTTTGAAGTTATTCTTTTATGTTTTCTGTTTATTATTCAATGATTATTTTTGGCTGTGTTATTTTTCTAGTGTACTCGGATCGCTGCAACCATTATGCCAAACGAGTTTCCCACTCGCTGGAAAGAAATCAAACAGGGACAGTGGATTCGGATTTTCAACTTTCATGTTAAAGAAGCTACTGGATCAATGCTTACAACGATCAATAAACATCGTTTGCAGTTAACTTCTGTCACTATTATCACCCCTATTCGAACGAGGTCGTACAATTTGTATCTCCATTGCTTTCGATTTTATGATCTTGTGGATCGAGCCATTCCTTTTGACTATCTGATTGGTAAGAATTTCATCTTTCACTTTTTATAAGAATTAATCAAGTTTATCGGTGTGCATGATAATTTCTAAACATGTATGTTAAGTTTTATAATAGATTTAAATTCAATTTATTATTTCGTTTATTATCAAATGTTATGGGAACTATTGTGAATATGTGTCCACTCTGCAATGCAAGTAA